GCGTGGCACTTGTTACTACTAGCTTCTTGTTACTACTAGTAAGGCACTTGTTACTACTAGCGATGCACTTGTTACTACTAGGAACAATGTTGAACACGGTTCTCTTCTCAAACTAATCTCAGTTGTTTCTGGCTGCTTCTGGCAGTGTCGTTATCAATTCGAACAGCGCAAGGAGCTATCAAGTAAGAGAGCAAGCGATGTCTGTGCAAGGAGACACGTTGCGAGCGGGAACCAAAAAGAGGAACCAGAGTCCAAATGCGGAAGTGTCTCGGTGGAACAACTTCTCCACACTCCACATGAAGTTGCTGCTTTATATAATCCCCTTTAAACATGGCCACAGATTGCTGCGGGAAACACCTGGATCAGAGACTTAGTGATTTGTCAATGACAAGGTATTCACCTCTTTTAGCTAGTTGCTGGGTCAGTTCTGGTAAGATGAGGTGCACATGAAGGATCATCAATGAAGGTAGGATTTGGATACTGACGATACTGTTTGTGTGCTAACTTATCAGGTGTAGCTTGAGGTCCCACTTTGGAGAGCAAAGTTCCATCGCGTTGGCAACTTGGACAGCTGCAGCGCCATCACCCATGCGTGGTTGGTGGTTCCTGCTGGCGATATGGTTACTAGTTACTAGTAGCTTCTTGCTAGTAGCGATGCCCTTGTTACTAGTCGCCTCTTGCTACTAGTAGTAAGGCACGTTGCTACTAGTAGCGATATATACATGCAACGCAAGATGCACATGAAACTCCTAGCTCCGTCTTTGCTCAAGTCGCAGTGCAGTGGCACCATCCAGGCTGGATCAAGTTCACACACGACCGTCGTTTTGAAACGCGAGAGGCCAGGTACTCTAGGGCCATCGTCGTTCGTGCACTTTGGCTGGTTGGAGCCGGACGAGCTTTCCTTTTCGTAGGCGGATGAAGAGTTTGTGGCGACCTACGTTGCTTGACAGCATACAGACGAGATAGAACTGGAAGATGAGTTTGCAGCCTTACATCAACTTCTAAGTTTAAGAAGAAAGAGTGCCTATGAGCTGGTGAATTAGTCATTCCTAATTCATCAGATTGCATCACTGACGCACTTGAAGGCATTTGATCTTCCGCTGCCTTGGATCTTCTTGCGTATTCAAGCAGATGTGTATTCTTCCTCAAACATCGGCATGAGTCACTAGTAGTGATGCTCCTTGTTACTAGTAGAGATGCACTTGTTACCCCCAACAGCTGGATCTTCGCTGCCCGGCTGGACAGCCATGCCGCGCCTGAGGTCCTTGGTCTGCGCGAGACCTCTGGCCAAGCGATGGCCAGGCGTGGATGGGAGACCAACATCTCGACTGGAAGGGTTTTTGAAGGAGTTGAACACACCAGGATTTTTTCCAAGTGTCTCAAAGACTTTTTGCAGAAAAGGATGGTGTAGATGGTGTAGGTGTCGAATGATGTCGAATGAAGATGTCGACTGATGTCGAATGTGGGGGTATTTGCAATGTATGACATCAAACAAGCACGTGGTATGGCTGTCTACAAATCACTTTTGTTCAAGGTGGAATGGCTGGACCTTCCAGCGGCTGGTTTTGCACGGTCAATGGAGCAGGGAAGCCGAATCACACCTGACAGTCGGGAAGACAGCGTGAAGGTCGAAGATTCAGCTCCAGTCAGCACCGGATAGCGGGAAGTTGATCACATATTGTGGTTTTGCCATGTTCTGCCTCTTTACTTTTAAGGGGGCTCCTAGTAGCGTTCTTGCTCCTAGTAGTACGGCCAGGAGCTACCAGTAGCGTCCTTGCTCCTAGTAGCGATGCCCTTTGCTCCTAGTAGCGATGCCCTTGTTCTGCTTGGCCTCTCTACTTTTGTATGCTTTGTTGTGCGAACACCGCAGTCCTGTCTTTATTATGGAGATACTGAGATACTCATTGACCGAGTAACACCGAGTGCTCATGCTCGGTGTGTCCGTCAGGCGACTCCGTCTTCATCTTCCCACAGCGCAAGACGGCTGGAGGAGAAGGCGCAAGACCTGAAAACTGGGAGGAATGAACTTCGAAGCAAGAACGCTACCAGGAGCAAACGGAATCGCTACTAG